AGAATCGCAGGGAGTTGCAAAAATTTCTGGGATTTGCCAACTTCTACAGGCGCTTCATTCGCAACTTTGGCTGGATTGCCTTGCCTCTGACTGCCCTTACCTCTCCCATGTTGTTGTTTCAGTGGTCTCTGGATGCTCAGCGGGCTTTCGGTCAACTGAAGGCTCTGTTTTCATCTGCGCCTGTGCTGGTACAGGCTGACCTGGAGCTCCCATTCTTCGTGGAGGTGGATGCTTCCGACTCAGGGGTGGGGGCCGTCCTCTCGCAGCGGGTGGCCGGTAAGATGCATCCCTGTGCCTTCTTTTCTCGCACGCAGAGCGGAATTATGATGTTGGTGACCGGGAGCTTCTCGCTGTTAAAATGGCCCTGGAGGAATAGCGTCACTGGCTGGAGGGGAGCAAGTATCCAGTGGTGGTGTGGACAGACCACAGAAATTTGGCGTACCTCCAGGCTGCGAAGCGCCTTAACGCCCGACAGGCCAGGTAGGCCCTGTTCTTCGCTCGCTTTGACCTTACCATCACTTACAGACCCGGGTCTCGCAACGCCAAGGCTGATGCGCTGTCTCGACAGTTTACGCCTGAGGCCGAGGGCGATGAGAAGGACTTGCCCATCTTGCCTCCATCTTGTTTCGTCGGCGCTTTGACCTAGGAGATTGAGCGGGTTGTGCGGGACACCCAGCGACAGGAGCCGGATCCTGGCACGGGCCCGGAGCGCAAGCTGTTTGTTCCTGCGTCGGCCCGCGGTAAGGTGCTTCAGTGGGCCCACACCGCCCGTTTTGCCTGCCATCCAGGTAAGAACCGCACCGTCTCTTTCCTGCGCCGATTGTTTTGGTGGCCCACTCTGTTGCAGGATGCTGGGGAGTACGTGGCGGCTTGTCCTGAGTGTGCTAAGAACAAGATGCCGACCTCGGCGCCTGCTGACCTCCTACGCCCTTTGCCTGTTCCCATGCGTCCCTGGTCGCATGTTGCTCTGGACTTTGTTACAGGACTGCCTCCGTCCTCAGGTAATACTGCTGTACTCACTATTGTTGACCGGTTTTCCAAGGCTGCCCACTTTATAGCCCTGCCACAGCTTCCTTCTGCTCTGGAGACGGCTCGCCTTCTCACCCAGCATGTTTTTCGGCTCCATGGCATTCCTCGGGACATCGTGTCTGATCGTGGTCCCCAGTTCACGTCCCGGGTGTGGAGGGAGTTCTGTGCGGAACTAGGGGATCAGGTCAGCCTGTCCTCGGGTTTCCATCCCCAGACCAACGGCCAGACGGAACGGGCTAATGAGGTGCTGGAGGCTATGCTGCGCTGTGTAATCTCCTCCAACCAATCGACGTGGAGCGAGCAGCTCGCATGGGTGGAATATGCGTACAACTCCAGTACGTCGGCGGCCACCGGTGTGTCCCCGTTTGAGGCGTCCTTGGGCTATCAACCCCCGCTTCTTTCCATCTCTGAGGGAGAATTGGCCGTTCCATCTGTCCAGCTCCACATGTGGCGCTGTTGGAGAGCGTAGCGCGCCGCCAGAGCGGCCCTCTTGAGAACGGCGGCCCAGAACAAGAGACTGGCCGATCGCTGCCGCGTCCCGGCACCGGACTACCAGGTGGGCCAGCGGGTGTGGCTCTCGACCAAGCATGTTTCTCTCAGAACTGAATCTAAGAAGCTTGCTCCTCAGTTCATTGGCCTATTTCCTGTCCAAACTGTGTTGAATCCAGTGACGGTTCGGTTGAGCCTGCCTCGTAACATGCGAACTCACAATGTTTTTCATGTCTCTGTATTTATAAATGTCATAATAAGGAGGGGTAATGCTATACAAAATTATGAATTAAGTACATGTTAATGATTTACTAATATCTTAACAGTAGTTAATACTTTGACATTATTATAAAGTGCTACCAATTTGAATTTTATGGTAATTATTTCATTGTTTGGGCTTTAAAACATTAAGAAAAATGAAATACTGGTGGCAAACTCACAAGGAACCAAATCGTGGTAATACAAGTAATTTTGGATGTGCGAGAAAGCATTTTTCTCACGAAATTGGTGCCTTTCTGCACAGATGTGGCTCCTGGGTATTTTTGATTTGCACCTGCCAGATTCACTTTATATATGATCTCTACTTCCTCTTGCAGCCACACATTTCTTCACTTGTTCTTTTTTACCCCTTTCAATTTGAAACTAAAACATAATTTTCATCGCTGTTTTCACTTTGACCGTGCAAAATGTATAACTGACAAGTCAAGTCAGGTCGGAATTTATTTCTATAGCAGATTTTAAACAACCTCAATTGTTCTACAGGTTATAAGAGATATACGCTACGCATAAAAATCACTAAATCAAAAATAAATATACACTAAAATCATGAAATGAAAAATACACATAAGTCTGTGTTTGCATAATAAAAACTAGTGAACTCTGCTCAACTAGAACTAATAGCAAGCAAGAATAAGTAGGTTTTAAGCAGTGTTTTGAAACGACTAAGAGAGTGGGTGGCTTTTATGTGAAATGATCGGTTGTTCCTTCAATTAGGAGCCACAAATGAAAAGGCTCTATCACCTCTGCTTTTAAGGTTTGACCTAGGAATATTGAGGAGCAGCTGGAAATGCAGCGACGCAAAAGTCAGTTGAATAAGGTGGTGCCAAACCATTGAGACTCTTGAAAATCTGAAAGTCCCACCAGGCTGATCATCCTCAGTATTTCCCACTTGGTTGGGAAATACTGGTAGGTTGGTGAAAATTAAAGAAAAAACTCAAATCTTCCCTACAGTGATGGAATCCAGCAAATGTTTTGCTTTGGGTGGCATTTTGCTGGAGTGTCTTTTGAACTTTTACACTCTTCATTACCCTCCCGATGGAATATCTTTTAAGCAAAAAAAAACTGCTTCTTTTCACCTGTAGAGTTCCAGAGGCTTATAGCATCAATACAACACACAGTGAAGTTGTTATGGCAGCACATACTGGTCTAACACAATGTTAATACCAACTTTGTCTTAGTTGTGGCTTTAATTTTCTCACTCATCTGTAGTTTAGTGTAGTGGATACTATTTCTGCAAACTCTTTGCATCTCTGTTGCTCATCTTTGCTGAACCGTTGTTGAGCATGTTGCATAATATGTATCTTACAAACTGTAAACATGAATGTCTTCACGTATCCTCAGTCATCCAGGCAAGGGAATCACAGGAAGCTGATTCTGTTCATCTGGACGTTGAATTTCCTTCGGGATTAATAAAGTATTCTGATTATGATTATGATTATGAATTTACAGTTTCAGAAATGTTTCATGACTCATCCAGGTGACTTCTTCGGGCTCTGAATGCAAAATCCAGATGAACAGAATCAACTTTTTGGAAAACATGAATGTGAGACATTCGCAAACTGTAAACACAGTTTTAGATCTGAATCTAGATGATTTGTTATACGTCATCTGCCTGTTATCTTCCCCCAAGTTTCCTTTGTTGTGACTCTGCATGACTGTAAAACTGATGCATAAAAGATAATGACCTTAAAGGAAATGTGCTTAAGTGTAATCCAGGTGTTGTAATGTAGATCTATATTATGAGACCTGATGTTCAGCATTTTAATTTGTCTGCTCATTAGTGGTTTATTCATGGCTGATATTAATGAGATACTTAATGATGCACTGAGTTTGTGATACACACTAGAGAGTATATTCACTGTTATGATGCACCTTTTCACACCACTAGAGGGTGATCTTATTGTGCATGAAGCCAAAGGGCACTTATAACTTAAAAAGTGACTTGCAAGAAAGTCCCTGTTCTGAACAACAGCAGTTGATCTTGTGACCTTTTAAAAAAGACTCCCTCCCCCAAAGCTCACATTTAGTCAGCGGCTCTCTGTCCACCTGACATTATCAAATAGAGATGTGGTGTGCTTTGCAGAGACCCTGTTTGCATTTACTGGGAAGTAAAACTAAAACGAAATCACATGAGAGGAGGAGGTGAGAGAACATGGGGGTATATATGGCTAACTTTAAGAGAAAGCTACTTCTCAGAAATGGAAGGCACTCTTTACTAAAGTACATCTAGATAAAAGCTCCTTGAATAAATCAACATCCCAATGTATTTCTCTTTGGTATAATTTAGATATTGAGGTTTGTGCCAGATCCAACCAATCCTCTTTCTCATACAGTTTCAGTGGACTAAGCATAAGTCACATGCAATCACAATAAAAGAAAGAGTGTGGTACTCCCATGGGCACCAGACTCGTTCTCTTGTTGGAAAAACTGGGTAAAGCCTGAAACAGTTTAAAAAGATGAGGAAGGCTAGATGACATTGCAGGTTCAGCAGTCTATGTCCTATTTGTTTTAGGGAACTTATGTTAAGCAGTAAATCAATACCCTTTACACATTTACAGTAACGAATGAGCAGAATCCAGCAGACAGAGGAAGAAAAGTAATTTGTATGTGACGCTTTTAAACCTTGATATGCAGCAGAGACAATGATGGACAGTGAAAAATCTGAGAATTATGCAGGAATAAGTGATTGTTAACGGTTTAACAAGGGGTATTTTTATGAGTCATTTCTTAACCAGAAATCGATATATATCTACCCATAACACACATTACGCCGTCAGCTTTCTTTGTTAATCTGCAAAACAGGAGTAATGAACTGAACTACTGAAATTTTGTGTAGGATGAGGTGTAGAGATAAGGCCTGATAGTCACTGTGGTTTCTTGCGCACATAGATAAAAGTATATACTTTATTCATGTGGTATTTAAAGATATAGGTTGCCTTGCATCCCTCATGTTAGATAATGTAAGTTTCTAAAGAACATGGAAAAATATTGCTGCCTAATCACACATAATAACTCGCATGCCGGCGACATATTAATATGGCTTAATGTATGATGAAGCTATATGCCTGTTATCCACACAAGCTAATGATTTATTCTTATCATCAAGTGAAGTCTGACTTTCAAGATCTTTATTTTTGATTTATTTAAGTGTTAGTACAGAAAAGTAAGCACATTCACCCAAACTGGGGCTATAATCAACATAGATCTTTAGTTGTCTCTGTTCTTCTATCTTCAGCCATGGTTAAGTGCAAAAGAAAAAAAAAGAAACAACATATGCAATGCATCAAACCACAAAGGAGGTCGTGCTGAACAAAGTGTCACAGGAAAAGGTAGACAAAGCCTAAAAGAGGAAACCAGTGATAAGACGAGTTTCCTGAGTTAAAATTTTATATTTGTCAGTGAAAAAACAGAAATTACATAAACAAAAGAGTATACAAAGTGAACTGATAAACACCAGAATGAGTCTTTGATAGTAACTACTGCCTACATTTTAGGGGGGGAGGAAAGTGAAAGGGGAATTCCTGAAAGCTTCCTCTTCTCATATCTGGTGTAGACACACTCCAACTGTGTTTTTTCTGATAGTGCTCAACACTAATTACATTATGAGCCCGGTGAGAGCATGGAAAGGGGAAAAGAAAAAACAAAAGAGGAAGAAAAAGGCTCTCTTGTTGAGAAAGGCAAGAGCAAGCGAGAGATGAAACTAGCAGCAACGTCACGGATATAGTCACAACAGGAAACTCATCATCTGAGAGGGAGGGATGTTAGGCGAGCGACAAAGGTACTTGGTGAGAACTATGTAAATAAAGTCATTTTCGAAAAACAAGGGGCCTCTTCTTCTTCGTACCGCAGATGTGTGGGCAGCACAGTATCAGCAGAAAACAGCTGCTTCCTCCTTGTTAATATTAATCAACAGTTTAGTTTAGCTCTTCTGTACAGTTACACAGAGCCACTGTGGAGGCTGGATGTTTCTGTCGGTGATGATTGGAATAAGGGACTCTGTTGGCGACTACTAACCGGATTCTAACTAAATGGTGTATTTCCAGATACTTGAAATGGATATCAAAGCCAAATTGCTGGGTTTTGTCTTCTTAATGATCTACATGAGCCTTGTGTCAGGTAATTAAAAGCTTTTCTTACGCTCTATTTGTAATCTTACTTAGTATGTCCAGTTACGGAAAAAAGTCACAGTTGATCATTTACTTAAATAACAATTTAAAAATTATTTAGAAGGTACTATATTTTTCCTTCATGATCATTTATAATATTTGTTTTATTTCTATGATCAGATGAAGCCAGTAAATGAGCTGAATGGCAAGAGTGGAAATTCTGTTCCCTTTCCAAAAAACCCAGAGTCACTTAGTTGGAGATCCCATAAATCAAAGCTTGTCAGCATCTTTTTCTTCTTTTCTTGACCACAAGTTTCACACAAAAACGTCTGGCAGTAACACTTTCGGAATATGTTCAGAGGGTTTTACATTACCATTGACTTTATAGCTCATTCCCTATATACAGGAATTCGTGTTTGAAAAAGATATGTGTGTATATATATATATATATATTTTTTTTAAACTTCCATTATTGTAACAGTTAATGTACGTCTTAACCTCTTTTTTTCTATATCAGGAGCCGAGGGCATTCCTGGTCCTGCCAAAGTGATGGTGAATATTTTGGATGGCGATGTAACACTACATTGGGACACACCTGAAGATGCACCTTCAAACTATTACTACAATGTGGAAATGGCAAAGTAAGTTTAACTTACATATCAGTAAGAATCCTATTACAGACTTACAATATGCCAATCTCTGAACTTCCTTATCTTTATTTCTTTTTAATTACATTTTTATTCTCTGTGACTTCATTTTGATTTTGTCTTCAGTTCGTTTTTCAAGCATTTGATGTTAATTGTTTTTCAACTAAGAGTTACTAAACCTTTTTTTAAGTTCATATTTTTATTTTGGTGACTGTTTTCTGTCCTTAGGTACCAAGATGACTGGGCCATGTTGGCAAGTTGCACACAGATTAATGATAACTACTGCAGCCTTAACAGTTTTATAACTGATTTTGAATCTGGCTACAAGGTCAGAGTTCAGCTGGTAGCAGGGGGCGATGAGTCTATTTGGGTTCGTAAGAAATTTCTCCTGAATGAAAGTAAGCACAATTTGTTGTGTTATTTTTAGATTAAAATGCTCTAATTAATAATTCAGACACATAATAAGATTATTTCCTTTCCCTTCTCTGATCATAGGCAAACTGCAACCTCCCTCCTTCACATTGTGGGCTACATTCAGCACTATAACCGTCTCTGTTCACCCAAAACCCATTTTGAAGAAGATTTTTCCTTTTGGTTTAAAGTACACCATCTACCTAGAGGAGAAAGGACAAGATAATAAGGTAGGTTAGGATTAGGTTAAAGCAATAAGGTTTTTACACCTTTTCCGACAACTTCACAATTTAAGACTGGAAAATATAATGATGAATTGCCCTTACTTTTATTATTTAAAGCTTATTTAAAGAAAAAAACAGCTGACTATGTTCTTGCCCTACAGAATACCACGGCATACTTGAAGGATGACATGGAAGAGGATCAGAAGACTACTTTCACTTCTCTCCATTGGGGTAAAGAGTACTGTGTCAGCGTCAAGTTAGAGGGCAGTGGAAATCTCCCCACCAGCAGTGTTTCCAAAAAACAGTGTCTGCTGTTGCCAGAGCAAGGTAAAGAAAAAATGGTAGATTATTTAAGAAGATTATTAAATATGTCACCTATAAATCACATTTACACAGGGCCTGAAAACAGGGATGGCAGCTAAATGCCAAACATTTGAAAATTTTTCAGCATTAAAACAAATCTTAATAAAGCATCTATCGTCCACTGCGTGTGGTAGATTTGATTAGATTTAGATTACACCTTTATGAAGTATCATTGTTAGTATGATAAAAGCTCAGCTATAGCCTTGCTTTTTTTCAGCAAGACACTCACATTTGGTAAATTCTTTGGTGCTTTTGCTCTTTTCAGAGTATTACATTATTGCTGTATCATCCCTATCATTTGTGGGTGGGCTGGCATTAATTGCAGTCATCGCAGTGCTGTGTTACCTGAAACGTCCAGAGAAAACACCTGCTGCACTGGTAAGTACAGTAAACTATAGACAACTGTGCACACTTGTAGTGTCAACTATTTGGAAAACAGAAAAACAGTATTTTGAAAAGAGATCTTACAATGTGCACTAATCCAATGTTTCATAAATCAAATCTAATTTTCTTTTTTCTTTGACTCACCTTAGAAATCCCCTGCTAGTGGCTGGCTTCCACTCTATGTTGAAGATGGGACTGTGGAGGTGGTTACAGACAAAGGATGGTTTCTGTCACCATACAGAAAAGACATGAAAGATGGTGTGAAAGACCCAATCAGTCATCTTACAGTAACAGAGGACAATGAAGAAGAGGAGAGGAGGACCAGCATGGATAGTGGGCTCAGTATGGAGTCTAACTCAAACATTGAAGAGAATCCACCAATGAGACAAGATGACAGTGGCTGTGGAAGCATGGGAGGACCTGAAAGCACAACTAGCAGCCAAACAGATTACCCACTTGAGAATGAGCGGGCTGATTCCATTCGGAAAAGAGAGGACAGTGGGGTGGGTCTGGGCTGCCAGATGATTTCTTGCATTAACCTGGATGGGCAGGACAGTGGGCCTCTAAAAGAGTCTGCTGCTGGAGGCAACTATCGCAGCCAGAGTCCTTCAGATGTGCAGATGCAAGCTTCTGATGATGAGGAAACATTTAAACAGATGCTTCCCAACTTGGTTTTGGCCGAGGTGGTCACGGGCTACAGAGCTGGGCCTCAGTCGTGTATCTGTTCAGGAGCTGGTCAGTGCATTTGGTGTCATCAGCAAGGCCACGATGAAACCAAAGTCATCAAACAATATAGAAAAGTGTCTATTGAAAATGGACTACTTGTAAGCCAATCTGATTTAATAGACTCTTACAAAGGAGATGTTACACATCCAGGTTACTCTAGAGAGAAACAAACTGACACACACATGATGGATGACTTAGAATCAATCTTTCCACTGAGGGATTTTCCTCTGCTGACCTCTCTGTCCCCGCTGCCGTTAATGAAGTGTGGGCAGGACTTCAATATGAACAATGTGTCCCTTTCTCTCTGCGATGTACAGCTGAAAATTGACTGATAAACTGTGAGATGTGACAAAACACTTTATTTAAAAAGAAAAAAAAATCCTGCCACCGCATGTTACAGTGCAATACTGGAGCAATAAACTCACATTTTCTACTTAATGAAACAGAAGCACTAGAGTGAGGTAAAATGTTCCAGTGCCAGAAACTGAAAAAACATGCGGAAATCTTGGGGATAAAACTGAGTGGTTAACAGGCAGTTACTGAACATACTGTAGGAAGGAAACAGAGGTTAGATTACAGAGCTACTGACTGGTAACTGTTGGAAGGAGTCTTGGGAGATTATGAAGACTGAGAAGATTCTAAGAAACGCCCTTTTTAACCCTGTTTCACTGAGTCTATTTACAACTGACTAATGTGTTGTCTGCCGGAAGTGAAACTGTGTGGGGAGCACTGAAGAGAAACGGCTTGATAGTTATGTGCACTTGGACATTTTGTGATTTCATCGCCGCCAACAATGAACTTTATTGCAGTTGCCCACATGAGAATGTTCTTATTTCTCAGCAGTGTGTTTAATTCACACAGTTTCGTAATACTTAATCAATCCACAAACTTTTTACAATAACAAGTGGTTTCACCTTACTTAACAAGCAAACTTTGATATAAAGAGCATTTTGTGTCTGATTCTCTTTCATGTTTTCTTACATGGCAAAATATTTTCATGTTTGTGCTTATAAGACCAGCTACTTCTTTGTTCAATCTATTTATTAGTCTATTTATTTAATGCCTTTGTTGATACATGTGCTACTCATGATTAAAACTTGGACTAGTCTGTAAAATTCATATGTTGCCAAGATTCCTAAAAACAATGCCTAAACCTAGCTAAACAGTGAGTGAAAAGTGGAAAAAGTGAAAGTGGAACATGAAAATATTTTTTGAAAAGAATTATTAAATTAAGTTAAAAAGTCAAACTCTTTTCATTTGAATTTAAGTCTTATCCAGTCACCTGCAAGTTTATGTAGCATTGCAAAGTATTTTGTTGAAAGCAAACGTTTTATCCAATTTAGATTTAAGCGAAGATTATTTTTAGACATTCACAAGTCAGTGAAACCAGCTGACAGACGACATGCTGTTTTCAGAAACTATGACTAAAGAAAACCCAAGGAAAACCCTGAGACAACAAAATGATACCTTCTTTAAAAAACCATTACACAAGACAATCTGTAGGCTACTAGGGATCTCCATATGCAAATTATGTACAGGAACCAGGTCAGTGGTTTTGAAGCTTCTAAACTGAGAAACAAACACTTCCTCTGTCAGGCCTTACCCCATTTCTAAAAAGTCCCGAGAAGAGAATGAATATTGTCAATATGGGTTGATTTCCATACACCAAACACAGCATTAGGGAAATCCTGTGACAAGTATTCTATGTATAAACTGCATACAGGGAAGTAAGACAGTTTCATGCAACTTATCATAATATTTTTACATATACACTGATGATTATTGTAGAACGTTAACATGTTGGGAATTCCTGTGGTAAAACTTTCTTTTTGCGCTCCTACTGTTCCCCTACTTTTTTGAATGTCTGTGCATTCTCCAGGTTGGTAATTGAACTTGAGGGGAACTCCCAATTCAATTACCAAAACTGGAAAAATATTTGGCTAATTTTAAGACAATTAAAATGCAACACAAAACTTCCAAAACTGGGTTTTGTCCTCTGTATGATTTCAAAATATGCCTACACCCACATTAGTTAACAAGGAGAAACATGTCACTTTGTTTCTCCCATTATTGCTAGATTAAATCCTTCTCTGTTGAGAAGTTACTGTACTTACAGTACTAGAGCAAATGCAGGGTTATGGCAGGTATCACAAGAACTATAGTGCAGCTTATGCTTTATCTTATGTTGCCAGCAAAGACTAACATCACAGAAATAAAACACGTTAAAAGAAGAGTCTCTGTTTTCATCTTTTCATCAAAAAACTGAAAAGCCTTCCTCACATGATCGCCAGCTTAATTCCCAATGAAATAACGAAAATATGGAACTGTTCTCCATTTAATAATAAAACACTGTCACTTGAATCACTGAGTCAATAAACTACTATCCTACTATAGAAAATCCTTAACAATACAACTGTTCAGTGCTGAGAATCTAATATTCCTGCAATAAAACAACAGCAAATCTAAATCTGAACCCAAGTAAAAAAAAAGAACAACTTTTATTTACCTAGTTTTGGTGGTGTTTACCAATAAAAACAATAAATATTAAATGTTAAATGTTAACCAGAGTATTGGAACTGTTTCAGAATTACTATTAGAAAAGACAGTTTTGCATGTAATCTTATATTTACTCTTTGCTGACTCATTTTTTGAGACTTGTTAAACTACGTGAAACATCTTTATCTTAAAAAAAAATATCTGAGTGATGTTGTGAAGATATAAGACCTCAATGTCTAAAACCAGAAGGTTTATGCATTGCCCTGGGGTTTCATAGCTGATTTTTGTCAGTTCAGTAATCCATGCATATCCAATGATCAGTGACTGCAAATATCTTCACATGCAAATTTATGTGCAGTCAGTGAAATATTTTGGGCACTGAAAAGTTAATACATTATATTTTCTATTTTAGAGCTTTAGTAGAGAATGTAAGTGTATTGTTGTACAGATATGAAGGTTTGTTTTTACAGTTTGAGTTAAAAACCATCTAAAACTATTTCAGTTGTGAAAAACCTTTGTCTTTTGTGAGATATGACTCATTTTCACTGAATTCAAAAGATGACATTTAATCACCCCCACCTCAGAGAGGTCATTGTTTTTTCAATACATGAGTTAGACAAGGTTCAGTTTCATTATGGGAAATAAAATAATGAGACTATAAGGACTCTACCAACTATCACAAGTATCAGAAAGGAACCATTATGTGCATGTGCATTAGGAGGGAAGTCACCTGCAGCTTACCAGAAAACTGCCGTGTTGCTGTGGTTGAGTTGTTGATATTCTGCCTTCAATGCAAAAAAAAAAAAAAAAAAATCTCCTCTGCAATACAAGTGTATATATGCTTCCTCCCATTGGTGTGTGTGCATATGTGTGTGCATACTCAAATCTGTATCACGGGACACCGCAACATCTTGTCAGTTTCTCATGACACATAACAAAACTGCCAGTGCGAAATTGGACGCAAATATTTATTTCCATGTATAATTTTATATTCTTAAAATCACATGATATTAACATAGTTCTGCATATACAGAAAAAAATGCAACACCTCTCCTTGTTTTAAGAAAAAGTTCGCATTTTCATAAACATAACTATAGAATAAAGTTGTTGCATGATACAAATATAATCAAAAGGAATCAAAAAGTAACATGGTAAACAAACTCCTCAGTCTGGGTTTTCCTCAGGCTTTTACACCAACATAAAGCAGCAAATAACAAGCAGGAACAGAGCCATACATGTTGAAAAAAGGTAGGTGGTGTGTAGGAAAGTGACAAACGACTGAATGCCTTCCATCAAGGTGATGATCGAAACACAGACAAGATGTTATTTCATGCTTTTGCTAATGGAGAAGGGAGGGGGAGCCTTCTTCAGGCCGACTTTGCTGTGAAGCATAAAATCAAAAGCACCCATGTGATCATGAAGCAAAGGAGGAAATAAAACTTTTAAAATGATGTGAAAGGTCTACACTCAAAGGTCATTGTGGAAAAAATCTACTTACGTGAGCACTTTGTCTTTCACCGACGGAGCTACAGAATAAAAGGAGACATAATAAGTAAGGTTTCTAAAGCACAATAGTGTGGTGGCTTTATCATGCTGTAGCATTACTGCTGGGCAGTGATGCAGTCAAGCATTTAACCACACATCTGACAGTTTCAGAAGGATATTTAGAGAGTTGTTTCAGTCAAATTATTACACCATGTGGATAGTTTCTTTTATTTTCCTTTTTTGTGCATGTTGAAAACGATGTTTCTGAAAAATAAGCGGGTTCATTCCACTTCTGTGGAACTGACTCTCTCTTGCCAATCCAGCAAACAATCCTGTTTGTTTCCTCTTTCTTAAGAACGTGACTTTCAGATTCTAAATTTATGCTATGTCTCCATACAACACTGGCTCATCCCTTGAGTTAGTTGCTTTTTTTATGCTTGAATTACTCAGTGTAATTTACTTCAGTTTGAAGTGGCTTAGCAAACAAAACAAGCAAACAAAAAAATCTGAAAATGGGAAGGCACAAGGACTGGAGCTAAAGAGCGGATATTGTCCAAAGAAAAACTTTGAAATTTTTTCAGAAAGCCTGGGGAACTATCCCCGAAGGCAACTTTAAAACATTACAAGAAATTCTGGCTCTTTGGAAGCAAACTATAAAGAAATGAGAATTTCACAATTTGTGATGCAAATTTGTGACGCAAAAAAAGTTGATTTGTGTTATGAATTTAATACCCTTGTTACTCACAGTCAGCGGTTAGTATAATGACTTATAATGACTGTTAGACTTGACTAAGTGTACGTTTTTTAATTGGGGAAGCAGCAGAGATGCTGTAGACACAAGCTATATTCTTTGTGACCAAAAGGAGACAAGAAGAAGTATGCTTTTGTTATCTCACCTTTTTTCTTGCAGCAATTTTTACACTCTTTACATTTGTACTTGCAGCAGAATTGTACAATCCCTATGGTTAATAGAATGAACAGGATTCCAAAGCCAACAAGAATCCCAACGGCCGTTGAGTTTACTCTGCTTTCTGCAAATAGAAAATTAGTTAATTAGATCAATACTACAGACTAATACATTTTCCAATAGCCTTACAGGCATGTAAATAATAATAAACAAGGTTTTAAATGACACGGAAATTGAATTTCATGGGGTATTTCTAACAAAAATTAATTACCAAACAGCCTGTCTGGTTTCTTGGGCCTAATTAGATCAATATATATATGTGTGTGTGTTTGTTTTGAATGAATATTGTCCCTGATTCTAATTGGAAAATCAATCTGTAGCAAAAAATAAAACTGGCCATTGCCATTGTGGTTCTCTTTGATGCAAAACTGAGAGACCAAGCGTACAGACAGTTAAGAGTATTGCTTTCAATAAAAACAAGTATCACACCTTAAACTCTTTATAAACTTCCAGAACCGTTAACAGCTTTCAAGAAAGATCTCTGTAAGTTAAAAGTTGACAGCTTGTAATACATAATGCATGTAAAACGCTTAGTCACTGTATGAAACAGAAAAGCAAAACCAGCAACACATTTAAAGGCAGTGTATCTATAGAAAAAACAAGAAAGAAAAGAAGTTTGAAGAAAACTTTCTGCGAAAGTCCAGTACGTGACAAGAAAGATAAAGCTGACTCATTACACAGAACAGTTTTTGATACTTTCTCGCGTGTGTCACATTTACTGTAAACAAAACTAAAAAAAGGTATCTCAGCTTAAAGAGTCTTACCACCATTCCCCATAGTTGATTTCTCAGGATGACTGTTGTTATCACTTTTCTTTCTTTGAGTCTCCCCTGTCTGTTTGGAGTTGAGCTGTGTCACTCACTTTCTCGACTTTACATCAGCCTTTTTTAAGTTATTTGCCTCAACTGTGAACTAGACCAAAGGTTCTCTGTCGTCTGCTCTCTTCGCCTGCGTCTGCTTTTCCATGTCCCCATACCAGTCATGCTTTAAAACCAGTTCATCTTCTTTCTATATTCTCCACCTCTTCAACCCTACCTTCATTAACATTTGCTAGAACAATAGAAGTGGTTCTACTGGCCTGTCATTCCTTTTGCATTGTCACTCTGCGAGCAGGGGAAAACCTTTTAACAAATCAGTCACCAGTTTGATGATTAAATAACCGGACACGCAAACTCAAAAATAGAAAGTTAAGCTTTAAGAATACTATGTTGAACATAGAGCCTTACATTTGTGATGAGACTATTTTGTGACTTTAAATCAGGACATAGAGCAATCTACTAACTGTAAGATTGGTAGTTAAATCTCTGGCTCTCTTTGCCATTAAGATAAAGACTGCAGTCCCTGTATTTGCCCCTGTATCAGTATCTTAGGCATGAGACTGAACCCCAGGATGCTCCTGATATAAAGTACTTAAATGTAGGAAAAAGTGATTGTATGAATGGGTGAATGAGGCATGTTATACAAACTGCTTTAAGTTCTCAAGCTGAGTAGAAAAGTCTTCTACATAAAATCCTGTTCATTTACTATCCATCTATTTGACACCTGAATTAGGTGATGCATTGGGACTCCTGCTGGATGGCTGAGTTATCACACATCTTTGTGACAGCAAACAGTAAGTGAAACCAAATTTTACCTGGGTGAAACAGCAAATGAATGGATCTGAGTCAAAAGGCAGTATTGGTATTGAGTCACAAGTTGCATACAAAGAAGTCTGAAAATACAACATGCTGCAAAGGTTTTGTATAAGTGTAAAAAGTCACAAGTTTAAAATAAAAGTTTCCAGCCAGAAGAGAATTTTTTTTTTATTGGCTAGTTGTTTTTTTTATTTTCAGTTTTTTCTCTGTGAAAGTGTCACATAATAGGTGGGCTTCTGTAGAATATACAAGGAGAATCCAGTGCAGTGACCCACCAGCTCCATGACCTTAAAGTGAACCTTTTGGGATTCATTTTATATTTTTTGTCCTTCACAAGTTTTCTTGATACTGAGCCTAATATGTATATTGTATGTTGTTGTATTATATTGTGCATATTTTGTCAATCTGTGTGTTGTTGTATATGAGAATAAAAAACGGTTGCTATAAACTCACCACAATTTAACAAGTACTGTGCAAAACAAGTCTAAAAGACGTGCTGACACTTATGCACAAGCCATTACCAGTGGTTAAATGTTTCCTGTTATTAAAACTGTCTGAGTGAATCATATTCTGACATCACGAGCCTAATCACAAAATGCAAACCACAACGCTGCACAGCAAGTTAAATGCCTTCCCTAACTGCATATCT